AGGTTAAATCATGATTTATATGTTGCTTTCTTTTATAAAATTAAAATTATAAAAAAATTATATAGTGATAACTCCTTGATTGAAATTTTAATATATTAATTGCTCTGTTCACAATATAAAGTTTAATGTGATTTAATACTGTACCTACAGTATATAAGTTTATGCTATGATGATGTCATGCCTATATATGGGTGTGATATGACATCATCCAGTCCATATTTGTAATAGAATACGTGATAGTGTTGACATAGCATTATAGGGTATTGACCTGGGGATGCTACTAGTAATGGCTATTCTCGTAGACATTGTATCGTACACGAGATGTGCGTTTTTGTTTTTTACTTTTGCAATTTGCTATATTGCTTTGTTTACAAAAGATGTCCTTATGGTATAACTCACAACATGCATGGATTATGTTTTATTATATTGTTGATGATAGAACCCTTAAAGTCCCATCTTCAGGACCAAAGAAAGTGCCTGTTAATAGGGATATCCCATGAAGAGGGTTGTCCCAAAGGAGAAGTTTTACTACTGTATGCTATTATAATGGAATGAGGGCCTAATTGGTTAACTTAGCTGGAAGAGCCATCCCTGAGATGAACTTTAGTGAAAAGGATAAATAGATAACATTCTTTAACATGATATTCATGTACATTGAAGATATACATTAATAATTGATTAAGAAAATTTTGATTCTTTGACAATTTTAAGATCTAGGAAGTAATAATGCTGTCTGTACATGTGTAGACTTCATCATTCCTGATGATGACATAATTAATGTCGAAATATTGAATCCCGACACGATGGCGTGCATTTCGATACTTGGAGTATGTACTATACTAGACTTCGAGTTCTCATTCTTTAGAATTTTATGAAATGGTTTTGAGCCAATTCTATGTTGTACAGGACTGTCACGAACAAGTGACTCTCTCTTAAGCTGACTTCACATCAGATCCAAACCAAAATCCAAACGAAAAGTATGGTGCATAATTTTGTAGCATGCAATTTTCTTATTCATTGAAATTTGAATAAAAATGTTGGCATTGTTGATACTTATAAAAAGGTTTTTTATTTATATATCTCATGTTTTATTCAGCAAATATGCAAATCAAATACAAAAAAGACAAACTGAATTGTATCACAAACAATCATGAAAGAGAGCCGACGATCTGTAAAGATGTTCTTGCTTAGTTAACATACCAATTCAATAAAATGCTAATGCTAACTAGCTGCTTAATGTTGTTTCAGATACTGTTAGACGAGGCTTTTTTGAAAAAAATTTATACATTGTTTTGCGAACTTTCTTTGTTACAGATTGTCAGAGGAAGGCGGAAAAAAATAAAAATAAAATTTTTTGGTCCTTAATTTAGCAAATAGTTTTGCCAAAAATATCCAGATGGAGGAGAAAATAAAAATAAAATTTTATTGGTGAATGTAAGCATTGTAGTAATAGGATGGTTAAATGCTTTAAATTAAATCTTGAAATCCCGGCCCCGAAACCGTGACTCAGAAGTACCGGGTTGGTGTCCGGCGGGGGACCATTATTGGCAGGCGGCAGGATTCGCTAAACCAGGTATAAAAAACGTCTCACCTTAACATAGACCGGAATGTAATTCTGACACCATTCTGAACATACTACATGTGACACATTATGCTCCTTGTTAACATTATATTACCTTTACTGAACATGCATGTGATTGGCCCTGTTTCGTTTTTGGTATCGTTCAGCTACAATCCTGAACTTATTCCTAGTTACTATGGCATGTTGCCAATGAACTGGTGGTGTTTTGAACATAGCAATGATATGCAAGGTCATGATGAGTGTAGTAGGATTGCTATACAGCAGTAGCCCATGCTGCAAAGCTAGCCCTTATTTTACTGCTTTTGAACATTATCTGTCTTGCCTCTTGTGTGGCATAGCCTACTGGCGGTTCGAGAGGATGGTGAGAAAATTCTGGTGAGATACTTTTTGAGATTGGATTGTGTTTCAATGAAATATTGAGCGTCCGGACCTCTTGCAGTACTATACTCTTTGCTACTATATATAAATAAAAATACAGTACACATTAAAAAGGTAAAAAAACAAAAAAACAAAATTTATTACCGTCCTTCCTTTTTTTTTTCTTTCACACGGACCCGGGAATTGAAGTAAAGATGCACCTCTCTTGTAATAATTAATGATAATAATTCATGATGAACAAGTATTAAAATTTAGCAATTCTGAAATATTAACTTCACATTGCTTTGATAGTTTTAATTTAGTTATTTAACTTTACCTTAACTTTTACTACTAAGTTTCTCGCCTCCTTCCTTGGAGGTATCGTTTTCGCTTACTCTGCCTCTAAACGCTTGGAGATTTCACTACCAAATGGGGTTTTCTTCAAAAGCCAATGCTCGTGTGATTGTGGGTTTCCTACGCGGCCTGAGGCAGTACAACAAGCCTATTCATGACTGACGCTGCACGTTTTAACTGTGGTGGTAGACCTTTCCTATCATTCGACACTATTTCTACACTTGTTATACTAATACATTTTTGGAGTCCTAGGAGGTCGGCTTTACCCACCAGAACCAGAACCAGTCCTTTACAGAAACAGTAAGCAGTGTATCACCTTGTGGTAACAATCAATTGAATGCATTTATTCTGCACAATTACACACATGACAACGTTAATGCAAGTTTTCTTATTCATAATGTCTATTTTCCTAATCATTTGCAGCCCGTTCATCTGAAATAATAAGTAGGCACTTAATCTGAATCATCCCCTTGAAACCCTGCATAGAAAATTGTCCCTAATAACAAGAAATCCTGTTTCAAAGCTTGACATTAAGAATGTGTAAGGGAAAAAAAAACAACAATAGTGTAAAGATGATTAGTAGACTGCAAGTGAAAACAAAATAAATCTTTTGAGTAGCTAACAGTAATATCGTATCTCATACTTGTAAGGATGTACACTACGATACTTCATTCTTTCATTCATTTGTTAATAATCTGCATTTATTACAGGTATGTTTATGAATTTGTGATTTCATTTTTCTACTGGTCTCTTTGTTGTACTTTCCTTTTATCTTCAGCTTCCCAGGTTGAACACACCTTCCTTCCTTCCTTCCTTCTTCTTCCTACTTTTCCTTTATCTTTTATTCTTCCTTCAATAACTTCCTTCAGTCCCATTTTCTCTTAGTAAATGACCAGTCAGTTTGCTTTTTTTTTTCAATAATATTCAGTAATCTATTCTTGTATTTTTCTTAGTATCTACTATGATACTACATAATATTAACAGCACAAGTGTATTGGAATACAAGAATTATAACAATTTCTTCTGCTTGCATTTTAGTTTGGGTTACATTTTTATTTTTAATGAACAAATAGGAAAAATAGAATAAATAACATTGAATATGTGTTGACCTGTGACATCTTCGTTCTACGTATGTTGTCTTACACCCTCTGTTGTGCTGTCACCGCAAATAGAGTGCACGTAAAATAGCAGAAGGCAAAGTAGATACACAATAAAATATTAAAATTCCACTCTTGATTGGAAAAAATTAATCTATAATATACTAATACCAGTAAATTAATTCTGTATCCAATGAACAGTATCAGACTGTGACATTCAGAGTTGTTTACACTGTAGCATATTAAATTCATAAATAAAAAATTATATTGTCATTGATTGTTTATCAACTTCATAATGAGATGTCTTAGGGCTTTAAACACAAAGTTCACAAAACATATTATCTCTACATACAATGTTGGTCTTCGAACTAGTATGAAGCGAAGCAAACCAAAACAAGTCCTTTATGTTATAAAGGTATATTGATTGTGTATCTAACAAATAATATGGAAGCATACCCTATTGTGTATACATTCATACAGTACAGTTTAATAATATTAACAGTGACTGTATATCATTATTTTAGAAGATGATTGTTAATCAGTAGCTTGTGAATTTTAGGCTATGTTCACACACACGGCGTAAGGCTGGCTTAAGCCTGGCGTAGCGTACGCCTTTGTGTGTGAACTAGGCAGTGGCGTTGTTAAAGCCACTCACTACGCC